GGATTAATCAACAGAAAATAAATACTTGAGCAGTTTTAGGCATGTCTTAATTGTTTTATATCTGTAATTTTATTTTGTTTAGATATTAAAAATGAGATGTTTTCAATTAAACAGCTAAAACACAAGTTTGACTGTAAAGAAAGTGTTGGTCTGCAGAACCAACAGATTTTTTTGGGTGTAAAGTTGAAATTCTTCAGGACGAACATAAAACTTCCTTAATAAAAAAAAAAAAATCTCTGAAAACTGACCATTAAACAAGGCAGAGCTTCATTTCCACAAAACACAAAAAACAAAACCATTATTGTGGAATATTTCACATTTTTAGTCTGTTACAAGATGAAACATTTCGTCTGTGAGTGGTTCCTCTGTTTACAAAGCAAAATTCAAACATCCAGTGAGCCCCAAAAATTTTTAAAGTATCTTTTTGTTTCTTCTTTTAGGTGTAGTGATTTTTTTAAACAGCTTTTCAATGCTTTTAAAGACTCACAGAGTAATGATGGGGTGCAACGAATCAATCAGAGTGATCATCTTCAGCTGCAGCTCTACTGACACGTTGATGCGTCACATAGTCAGACTGTAAAACAAATAATTTTAATGTTGTTTCAAAAGACAATGAAGCTGTTTTCCACTGAAAATGTACTGATTTTAAACACGTTTCTTTGCGTAAAAATCATAAAACACAAGGAACAAACATGCTAAAACAAAATGAAGAGTTTTGCAGTGTAAATATTTAATAATCCTGCATCACTGCTGCCATATTTTTATTTTAGTAATAACATTAAACTTTAAAAATGCTGATACTGAATAAAAATATTTACTTTAATATCAATTTTAAAAGAAGAAATACCAAACAAATCAAGAAAATAAGATTGGACATTACTCATTCGACGGTTTACTTTAGTTTTTAAAGATCACAACTAAAAATAATTAAATTAAATTCTAGCTGTGAATAAAAAAAATAACAAAATTGTAATTATTGTGTAAAAGCTTGTCTAAAATAAGGGATTAAGTTGTAGTTTGTCAAGCTGTAAGGAAGTATCTGATAAATGCCCTAATGAAAATAAAATAACAATAAAATACATGTTAATAAGTGTTTAATGAAAACAGATCTGATGAGCTGTTTGCAAATTACTGACAGGAAACAAACTCCAATAACATCTATTATTAAATATTCTTTAAGAAAGCCTTTTCATCACAAAATGTGGTGCTGCATTTTTGTTTACTGCAAGGGCCCAAAAGTATGACACAAGTAAAACAAATAAAAAATCGTAAAAAAC